AATATGGAGTTGATGATCTGAGCCACAGTCAGCTCCCGGTCTTGTTTTTGCAACTGTATAGAGCTTCTCCTTTGACTGCAAAGAATATAATCAATCTGATTTCACTATTCACCGTCTGTTCATGTCCATGTGTAGAGGCTTCTCTTGTGTTGTTGGAAAAGCATGTTTGCTATGACCAGTGCTTTCTCTTTGGAAAACTCTATTAACCTTTGCCCTGCTTCATTTTGTATTCCAAGGCCAAACTTTCCGGTTACTCCAAGTATCTCTTGACTTCCTACTTTTACATTCCAGTCCCCTATGATGAGAAGGACATCTTTTTTGGTGTTAGTTCTAAAAGGTCTTGTAGGTCTTCATAGAACCATTCAACTTCAGCTTCTTCAATATTAGTAGTTACGGCACAGACTTGTATTACTGTGATTTGAATGGTTTGCCTTGGAAATGAAGAGAGATAATGCTATCATTTTTGAGATTGCACCCAGGTTTTGTGTTTCAGACTCTTTTGTTGACTATGAAGGTTACTCCATTTCTTCTAAGGTATTCTTGCCCACAGTAGTAGATATAATGGTCATCTGAATTGAATTCACCAATTCCAGCCCATCTTAGTTCACTGATTCCTAAAATGTTGATGTTTACTCTTGCCATCTCCTGTTTGACCACTTCCAATTTATCTTGATTCATGGACCGAACATTCCAGGTTCCTATGCAATATTGTTCTTTACAGTATCAGACTTTACTTTTATCACCAGACACATCCACAACTGGGTGTTGTTCCCTCTTTGGCTTAACCTTTCCATTCTTTCTAGAACTATTTCTCCACTCTTCTCCAGTAGCATATTGAGCACCTACCAACCTGGGAAGTTCGTCTTTCAGTGTCATATCTTTTTTGCCTTTGCATACTGTTCATGGGCCCCTCAAGGCAAGAATGCTGAAGGGGTTTGCCATTCCCTTCTCCAGTGAACCACATTTTGTCAGAACTCTCCACCATGACCGGTTGTCTTGGGTGGCCCTACATGACATGGTTCATAGGTTCATAGAGTTAGACAGTAGTTAGCTAGATCAAAAATGGGGGAAGGGTATTTCAGATAGAGAGCGTATTATGTGAAAAGGCATGGAGTCTTAAGAGAGCCCTGTATACGTGAAGGCCTGTAGATGGTAACTCGACATGGTTAGAGACCTGTGTGGACCAGCATGAAATGAGACTGCAGATGCCAGGAGAAAGGCCTTTGGGTCTCCAGGCTAAGTAGACTCTGAATAGTCAGAGACACTGAAGAGAGGGTCTCTGGAGAGGGTAGATCGGAGGGGTGATGAGACTGGCAGCTGAGAGACCAGTGTGGAGGCTGTTCCAGAGATGATTGCTGAAGTGTTCATTGTTCACTCTAAAACAATGAAGGGTGTAGATAAAGAGGTGCTTAAGTGGCAGAATCCACTGGACATGGAGACCAGTTCCTGAGGACACAGAAGACCTCTTCCCAACTGTCTTCTCCTCTGCCTTGGCCACAGCACTCTGCCCACTGGCTGCCACCCCACCGTGTTCCTTCTCCTCGCCTCTGTGCTTTTGAGCTTGGGAGGTCCAGCACTGTAGGTAGAGGTTATCACCTTCTAGATTACTACAAACCAACATAATGACGCATAAATGAGAGAGAAGTTTATTTCTGTCTCATGGTGGGGCCATAACTTGGCCCTCGTGCTTCTCAGGCAGAAACACCCCTGGGGAAGCTGATTTGGAGAACAGACACCCAGGACAAAGGTATTCTTGAATTTCATTTAGAGAATGGCAAAGTCTATGGCAGTGTCATCATGCATAGAGTACCAGCTTGCAAGCTACACGGGCCTAAGTTCTGAGCCCAACCATGCCACAATCCTTAGCTGTGAAACTTTGAACAGATTTCTTAACTTCTCTGAGCCTGTGTCTTCAGCTCTGAAATGGCAATGGTGATTGATCAATAAGACTGTTCTGAAAAATAAAAGAAATAATGAAAAGAAAGTGCCCTATTCATGCCACATATGTCATTTGTGTCCATTGTTTTTCACTGTCTCAAATGAACACTGCTTCCGAAGAAAATCTTCTCCCAGTAGATACTGGAATATTAATGTCCTCCAAAAACTGCAGTTCTTTTGCTTAGGCAAGGCTGGACAAACCTAGATGGAATCTTCTTCTCTGACATTCTTTAAAAAAAAAAAAACAGTTCTTGAACGCTTCATTATCTCATGTCAGACATGTTATAACAGCACGAAGAAAACAGAAACTTTTCTGGCCACTGACTGTGCTCAGGAGACACATACATCCCATTGGCAATGTCCCAGCATCCACTTGCCTTGATGGGTGGTTACTTCTGCAGGTGTACATCTACTGTGTACTGATTTTTCCTGGTTTCAGTGTCCAAAGGTGACCTTTTCCCACTCTTGTCCCTAGAGTCTTGGGCCCAGAGCTCCACATACACTGACCACCTCTGAATGGGATCAACTAGAGCTCTGTGTTTTATAGCTTCAAGGTCCCCTTTCAGAATAAGCTCTGCTGGCACCACAAATGGGAAAGAAGCTGCAGCCCTTTGGTTGTGGAGCAGCTGGGACGGGACAGTGAGTTTGGGTCAAGATTTGTGAAACTGTGTCCTGAGAAGCGGGCTGCCAGCTTCCCTTCCTGGTATTCCTCGTTTAAGAAATGCATGGAAGAATCAGTCTGAGGAGATAATTAATAGAAAATACAACTGGCAGCCATCCCTGGCTCTGACTCACTGTGCACACTCCCGAAATTGTTACCATGGTTTCAAGGCTGAAGTTTTCTCCGCTCTGCCCCCCTGCCCCTTCTGCTGTTCATTCGTCACTCTGCTCCCACAGATTCCTCCACAGTCGGCCTCCACAGACTGGTGCAGACTTAACCCTGTACAGAGGCTAGCTTTTCTGTTGTTTGTTTTACAAATAACATCCATTGCCTTTTTTCTTGAATTAAAAAAAAGAATACATGCCAATTCGTATAAACAGAACATAATTTAAACAGAAAAAAAGAAAGTTAGCCATAAACTCACATCCCCAAACTAACATTTAAGATGCTTGTGATGCATACTGCATAGTTGAGATTGTACACGATTTTATCAGTCCTAAAGCGCTTTTGACCTCAAAACCCCGGGACCTATGCCCATCATTTTCTCCTTTGAACTACTGGCCTCTAGGCACTGCTTTGGGCAAATTCAGCCACTTACACAGGCTCATTATTGTTGTTGCTGTTATCTGCTGGAACACACAGAACTCTCACAATGTTCCAGGCACTAAGCATTTGCAGATACCTCAGCCATTTAATGCTGGCTCTTCATTGGGGTCTGAACTTTGCTTCATTCCCACTCTTAAGACTGCCATAGCCAGTGGTCACAGGAAAGGCTGTCCCCTATGAAAAACCAGAATAAAGGTGTCCTCTTGGCCTCCTGGCTGTAGATGAACTGTTGAACATGAGGCCATACTATTATTGTCACCCTGCCTCATCTCCAGCAGGACTTGGAAAGTCAATACATAAGTGGGATCCACCTCAGAAGTGAGGGACCAATTATCTCCTCAGCTCTGGATGTTTCTCACAGTTGATCACTCCCAATCCAAAACAAGGAGTGCCTAAACTGTGCCTGTTCAGAAATGACAGCAGTAAAACAGGGGGCTGCCTGTAATGCATGAGTTCGGGGTAGCAGTCTCAGAAATACCTGATCGCTGGCATGTAGCATCTTAAGTCCCAAGAGACTGAATTCAAAAACTAAGCTCTGAGCTGGAGGACCTACATATTCTGGCTGGCATGGGCAAGCTGAGAGAGCTAACTCATGGAGTGGAGGGAAAGCCCTGATCTTACAAAAATTGGGAGAAGAAGGGTTGTGGATAAATGTAAAAAGTTTGAGGATGTAAATTCAAAACTCATTCACCTTAAGCTAACACTCCATAAGCAAGTCATTGTTTTATGTGCTTTACAAATACAAACTTGTTTAATTCTCTTCACACCCTATAAGAAGGTATTATTATTAATTCTATTTTCCAGAAGATGAAACTGAGCCAAAGAGAGGTGAGGTAACTTCCTCAAGGTCACAGAACTAGTACCTGAGTGGTGGAGCAGGGATTTGAAGCCAAGAAGTACAGAATCCATGCTTTTAACAATAGTTATTGTTGTTACAGTTGCTAAGTCCTGTCTGACTCTTTGCAACCCCATGGACTAGCCTGCCAGGCTCCTCTGCCCATGGGATTTCCCAGGCAAGAATACTGGAGTGGGTTGCCATTTCCTTCTCCAGGGTATCTTCCTGACCCAGGGATCGAACCTGTGTCTCCTACATTGCAGGCAGATTCTTAACCATTTGAGCCACCAGGGAAGCCGCACAGGTACTAACTATAGCAAATATTTAACAGTAGTAGTGTTAGTCGCTCAGTTGTGTCCGCCTCTGCCCATAATTTTCTCCTTTGAACTACTTAAGGCACTGCTTTGGGCAAATTCAGCCACTTACACAGGCTCGCTACAAGCTGTAAAATAACTAAAAGCGAAAACCCGAAAGGAAGGGCAGGCTGGTGTGTATGAGTGCGCGAAAGGGGTAGGCGGCAGCCGAGGTTCTTCCGGCTATGCCTTTGTCTAATGGCCCCGCGGGATTGGCTGGAACCCCGCGCCGAGGGACTGCAGAGGCGCCCCCCGCGTCCCCCTCCCCCAGGCTTCCACTACGCACGCGTGGAGGAGGCGGGTAGGGCAGTTGGGTAAAGGGCGCAAAGAAGGGCGTGTGAAAGAAGCCGCAAAAAGCACAGAGGCGTGGCTTCCCGCCCTCGCCCAACCTTTGGCTCCGCCCCTCTACCGGGTCCGAGCTTCAGCCCCATTGGCCCTAGAGTCAAAGGACCGGGCCTGCCCCAAGATATGCCTGCTTCCGGAGCCACGGTAAGGATGGCCAATTGCGATGCCGCTTTCTGGCATATGTTTAGGACACACCGGTGGGGCCTGAAGGGGCTTTGTGCGGCAACCTAAGCAGTTGAGAGTTCAACGGCAGATTTTGGAAATGCCACCGAAAGGAAAAAGCGGTTCTGGAAAAGGGGGAAAAGGTAGAGCAGCCAGAGCAACCAAGAAGAAATGGGGTTGGGTGAGGAGCAAGGCGGAGGGAGCAGACCGCCGGGGTCCGGGGCGGAGGCAGCGGGCTGCCAGTGACTAGAGGACTGACCAGGAAGTAATAAGTTAGAAACAATCAATACGGACTTCAGTTTTGATTTAAAAGCATGGGGATTAGATGGTGGATAGAAGAGAAGAAAGGATTACAAGAAAGTTTGATTTTGTTAGTTTCTTCCGAATGGGCAAATCTTGAGAGTGAGGCTGTCATGAAGGATCCATTTGTTAGGTAAAGCTACAGGGTAGTGAAATTGGGAGAAAAGGGGTAGAGCAGTTGACTTTGAGTAGGAGAAGGGACGTCTTAAGCTTGACGTCACAGAGATGAAGATGGATGTGGTGGTAAAAAGTGGAAGACAAGGGTAGTTTTTAAAACAGCAGGACAGGTACTGAGTAGGAGTCTTGAGGAGAGTGGTAAGCGTTTGGAATAGTCATTGGGGTGGTGAGAGGGGATGAAACACTTAAAAAAGGATTGCCCTTAGGGCTGAGAGCTTAAGATTGAAGGCCATGAATTTGTAGAGGACACAATCTGCTCAGTCATGATTTAGCTAGTACCGTATAATTGGCACAATACAGGATTGATAAGAGCTAAGTATAACTTTTAGCCAAGGTTGAGGTTTTGTTGGACAATAATAATAGAAGGAAAGCAACACAAGGGAATTAAGAATGCCACTGGGGACACAGTTCAGATGATCAAGCATGGGATCCAGACTGAGAAGGGAAGGAGAAATTTGATAGCATAGGAGAACATAGGAGGATAAAGGAATTGAATGGGGGGAGGTGGTTCTGTGACATTAAAGAAACTGTGTTGTGGGAATGAGGCATGAGAAGGCTGGAAGAACAGAAAGTTGTAGCCAGAGATTGAACTAGTTGTGAGTGGCACAGTTCCATCACATGCCCCTGGGAACAGGTGGCCTGGAGTAAAAGGCATGGGCATTTGGGAGGGAGGTCTAGAAGGTGTGAAGTTAGGCTGTTGGATGATTCCTCTGCATAGATGGTGAAGTCATCCAAGATTAGGGCAGTAGTGAGGGTGGAAAGGAAGCCTGAAGTTGCTGCCAGAGTCCTTAGAGGGAGTGAAGGGGCATTCAGAAGATGATAGCATCCATTGGGGCAGAGGATGGGATGACTGGAAGGCATCATTGTTCTAGAGAAAATAAGAGTTTAGTGTAATAAAACTCCTTTGGCAGTAACATTTTCTTAGGCATTTGGTGGTTGGCATTTTGGATTTTCAGTTTTGTGGAACATTTATTGAACAACTTTTGGGTGCTCGGCATTGGGGTTCCTAAGACAGGATGGAGTCTCCTGAATAAAATTTCAATGGGTCCCTATTACTTCTAGGGTAAATTCCAAGTTCCTTAATGGAACCCAAAGGGCCTCATGCCCTAACCCTCAGCCACCTCCCCTGGGTTCATCTCACAGCACTCCCACTTCAGATTTGGCTTCGTCCATAGTTTCTTCCACATATTACACTGTTCCCCTACCCTGGAATTCTCACCTTTGTCCTTTCTTTACCTGTTCAACTTCTACTCATCCAGGAAACCTTCTCTAACTGGCTAAAATGTACCTCTGTGCTTCCACAGCCCCCTATTTATAGAGCATAGCTCATTCTCCTGAAATGATCTTTTACATAACTTTACATAACGATCTTCCCCAGTAGTATATGAGCCCCCTGAAGGAAGGTATTATGCCATGGCTTGTTCATCTTTGTATCTCCAGTGCCTGGAACTTAGTTACTTAGGAAACGTTTATGAACTGAACACTTAAACCAACAATAGTTCTTAGGAACATCAGCCTCTAACAGTAAATATGCTGCCATCAACACAGAAATTGGCATAGTAGCAAAATGACACAGTAATAAAATGTAAACTACTGCCCCTTGTGTTAATCTGAATATTGATAACTTCTTAGGAAGGTTATCAGTAGGCAGTGTCATTGACTCTGGAAATGAATGTATTCTTTAGCCAAATATGGATGGTAGGAAATTTGATCTTTATTTAAAATATATTCTTGGACATTTTACCTACTATAATTGTGAGTATCCAAGTACATAGCTGTAGTGCTTATTAGAAATCTCACAAGAGCCCCAGGGTTTGCTCTTAGAAGGCAGGATTTCAAACTGGGTCTAGAGAATCCAGGCCAGGTTTTTGGTGCTCCCCATTCAACTATTAGCACACTCACTTGTATATCCATTTTCTGTGAAGGGTTTTGGTAGGGCACAAATTTCTTGTTTTCAGAGGTGAGTTACAGGTTAATTTAGCTTGATGTAAAGTGTTTGCAGAGTTCCCTTTTGAAGCTTGGTGCTGCGATGGAAGTATCAACTGTTGTGTTGAATAATAAGGTGAAAGTGTAGTTTAAATGAGTACTTGTCATCTCTTCTCTAAAGGAAAAGCAGCCTCTGGGAGTGAGAGTTCTGAGAAGAAGGCTCAGGGTCCCAAAGGTGGTGGCAATGCAGTAAAGGTGAGTTACTCATTCCTTTTTTTAAAAAAAATATAAGTAACATATACATCTGTTATTTTGGTACACATAAAAGGAAAAGACAGTATGCCTAACTCATCCTAAGGCTAGCCTAATACTGACAGATCAAGATAACACAAAAGTGGAAAATAATAGATCACTCACTTATGAAAAGTAATTCCTTTAAAATATTTCTTAAATGTTTTCTCAGACATCCAGAAATTCTTCATACTCTAGTATTTTTCCTTAAAATGTATTAAGTCTTCCCAAGTAAGTGAATGAGTTATTTCTCAGAATGAAATACTACTTGACAAAACCAAGAGCTGAGATGAGCAAGCAAAGGTATGGGTCTCAATAGACAGCTTCCCCACCGGTAAGCTACAAGCCAGAGCCCTGACCTTGAAAATTAAGGTGGGAGACAATTGCAAATAATTACTTGAAATTGACATAGTGCCAGAGGTATGTCTGCCCTGGGAAATTATAATCTGAAATAGAATTATACTGTTTAACGCTACATAAAAAGGCAATTTCCATGTTTCAGTCAGGATGTGGGATTCCATACTTTGATTCATTCATTCCTTATGGATTTAGTGACATCTGCTTTGTGCCAAGCAGTGTACTAAATTCTGGGTATTAAAAAAAAAACAGGTAAGAGATGGTCCCTGTTATCACAGTCTAGTTGGGAGCAGTTAGGTAAAGAAAGAAATATCATTGCTATATGAGAAGAGCTATAGTGGAGTTGTAGCATATAAATGCACCTATACATATGCAGCCAAAAAAAAGGAGCGAATGTAGAGAGGGCCATTCTGCCCACTTTTCTACTCTGTGAACCCATAGAAAAATAAGAGATGGGAGACATGAATTTGCTTTCCATATATACTTGACCTTCATTCTCATATGAACATCCCACCATGTGAAGTGGGATTCTGGTATCCAAAGATAATTTTCACAAAACATGGTGCCTAAATGCAAGTCAGCTACTTTGTCCGGACATCCAACTGAAGAAGTGGCTTTAAAGAGGCATTTTGCCCTTTCTGGAAAAAAAAAAAAGCTCAGTGTGGCTATACTTGAGGTATATGAAAGGTAGTTGTTCAGTTGCTCAGTCCTGTCCGACTCTTTGTGACCCCATGAACTGCAGCACGCCAGGCTTCCCTGTCCATCACCATCTCTCAGAGTTTGCTCAAATTCATATCCATTGAGTCAGTGATAGTATTCAACCATCTCATCCTCAGTCGCTCCCTCCTCCTCCTGACCCCAGTCTTTCCCAGCATCAGGGTGTTTTCCAATGAGTTGGCTCTTTGCATAAGGTGGCCAAAGTATTGGAGCTTCAGCTTCAGCATCAGTCCTTCCAATGAATATTCAGGGTTGATTTCCTTGAGGATTGACTGGTTTGATCTCCTTGCTGTCCAAGGGGCTCTCAAGAGTCTTCTCCAACACCAGTTTGAAAGCATCAATTAGCTAGGAAAGTCAGTTAAGGTTAAACTCTTTTGTTAAACTTTTCCTTTTGAAATAATTTTAGACTCACATTCAGTTGTAGGATAGATGTACTTTTTATACATGTACATGTGCCTTTTATCAGGGGCTTTCCAGATGGTGCTAGTGGTAAAGAACCCGCCTGCTAGTGCAGGAGATGTAATAGACATGGGTTCAATCCCTGCGTTAGGAAGATCCCCTGGAGGAGGGCATGGCAACCCACTGCAGTATTCTTCCGGGATAATCCTATGGACAGAGGCTAGCGGGCCACAGTCCATAGGGTCGCAAAGAGTCAGACACAACTGAAATGACTTAGCACTATACCTTTTATCCTGTTTCCCCAGTGGTAACATCTTACAAAACCCTAGTACATTAGCACAACCAGGAGATTGACATTGCTACAATCAAGATCCAGACATTTCCATCATCCCTCTTTTTGCCCTTTTATAGCCATACCCACTTCCCCCGTGGATCCCCTACCCCTGCCCTCCATGACCTCAGAGCAGCAGCTAATCTCTTCTCCATTTCTATAACTTAATGATTTCCTTATAAATGCAGTGATACAGTGTGTAGCCTTTCGGGGTTAGCTTTTTTCACTCACTGTAAACCTCTGGAGATTTCATTCCACTTGTGTGTATCCATAGTCTGTTCTTTGTATTACTGAGTGAGTGTTCCATGGACACATGAAAGTAGTGTGTTGAACTTTTCACCTGCTAGGGGACAGCTGGTTTGTCTCCAGTGTTTGTGAAGGCCCCAGTAGCAGAGGGACCCCAAACCCTTCAGCCTTTTAGGGTCTAGGCTCCTTCCACACCCGCCATTCTGCTTTAGACCGTACTCCTGAATCCAGCCCTGCCCTGTGTCTCTGGAGCTGCCCAGATTCTCAAACCTACCTTCCGATCACAGCTTCCTTCCTTCCTCTTGTTTCCCACCTCCCCCAATCCTGTCTTTTTCTCTCCATGCACAGACCTCTAGGCCCTCTAGCCTGCCCTGTTCGCTTCACCTTCTCCCAGGCTTTGTGTCTGTTCTCTGAGCCCTGTATGTCTTGTAGGCTGGAAACTAGATGGATCATAGAGCCCTGACTCCTTTCATTTTGGTGATCCACTACATCCACCTGCCAGACCACAACTCAGGATCAATCCAGTGATCTCCTTTCTTTACACTCAAACCCAGAACTTGTGGGGCCCACTGGAGAGTCACACAGCCTCGGGGGTTGGGGCCACTGATTCCTCGTCTCTACCCTGAGCTGGGCCATCAGAACTGCACGGAGATCCCTTGCCACTCACCTCAAGCCATCTACCACCCTCCTCCAGTCAGTCAGCAGACAGCTTTGTCCAGTGGTTCTCAACCCTGGTATACATCAAATTCACCTGGAGAGCTTCTAAAAGTCTCCATGCCTAGGGATCTACCCCACACCAGCTGCCTCACAGTCTCTAGGGGTGGGGACTGGATCTTGGTATATTTTTTAGAAGCTCTTGGGGTGATTCTGACATGTGCCAAGGTTGAGACACTGATCCAGTCTCACAGGGTTGGTGTGAAGATTTCATGAGATCACGCATGTAAAGCACTTAGCACAGTTAGTATTAAGTGCTCAATAACTGAAATATTGTTAAAATTGTCACAAGAAAATGGAGACCAGACCTATAGTCAGGAATTCATTGACCAGCAAAGTTATCTTCACCACATCTCCCTCCTCATTCTTCTCACCTCTCTTCCTTTAAGGCTAACTAATTTTTCCAACAGTGCTCTGAATGCCTAGCCTCGCTCCTTCATTTATCTCTACCCTCTTTCTTTGCTCTGTCTTCAACTTTTCCCTCTTTACTGCATCTTTCCCTTCATTCTGAAAATATACCCAGGGATCTTTAAAATATATCAATGCATGTGACTCTTTCCCTCTGACCAGAGCCCTTTCTCCTTTTCTAACTCAGTTAGTTGGGGAACCCTACTCACATTGCAGTTCCCTGGTGGTTCAGCAGTAAAGAATCTGACTGCCAAGCAGGAGACAGGGGTTCGATCCCTGGGTCAGGAAGATCCCCTGGAGAAGGAAATTGCAACCCACTCCAGTATTCTTGCCTGGGAAATCCCATGGACAGAGGAGCCTGGCAGGTTACAGTCCATGGGGTCGCAAAGAGTCAGACACAACTGATCAACTAACCACCACCAACACCCTCATTACTGTCCTGCTTCCCATTATTTCCTCAGTCATCTGCTGCACCCTGGCTTCTGCACTTACCACTCTTCTGAAACAGCTTTTGCTAAGGACCTGGATCCTTATTGTTCTGCAGCATTTAACCCTGTTGCTCATTTCCTCCTCGAAACTTTCTCTTGCCTTGAGTTCTGTTAACACACCTTTCTTTCTACCTGTCTGGTTGTTTTTATTATGCTTGTTGAGCTTCTTTGCTTATTGTTTAAACACCAATATTCTCCACCGATGAGTCTTTAGTGTACTTTCTTATTCTGTGTACTTCTTCTTGTTCTGTGTAGCCTCCTTGGGTGATCCACTACCTCCATATTCATCACTCCCACATTCTCTCTGGAGCTTGGCTCTTTTTTCTTATCTTTTGTCTGCACAACCAGGCATGAAGGATCTTAGTTCCCCAACCAGGGATCGAACCCAGGCCCCCTGCATTGGCAGCATGGAGTCTTAACCACTGGGCTGCCAGGAAAGACCCTTGGCTCTCTTCTAAGATGTCAGTCTCATACAGTTGTCAGTTGGTCAGTCACACTTGCAAACTCCACAGGTACTACAGACTCATTATGTCTAACCCATCAAACTGTGTAAAACCAGAATACTTGTTTATTCATTTATAAAGTGGTAGATGGGATCCCCTTTCTGTGATCACGAATGCTGTGTGCACTTTCCCAGTCATTGAACCAGGTTTGCTTTGTGAATGTAGAAGCAGAAAGAGGGAAACAGTGGAGAAGCAGTTTCAGCCAGGCTAAGATGAGGTCTGAGGAACCATCCTCATCCCCCAACATGTATCTCTCTAGTGTCCAGATTGTCCCTGTCTCCCCTAGGCAGTGCTGGACACATTCTATAGAAGTTTGCCTCTCTGAGCCCTGCTTTTTGACACATTCTTTTCTTTGCTGTGTCTGTCTCCTGTGTAGTTCCTCCAGTCCAGGATCCTGTCATCCCCAGTTTTACTAACTGAACCCTGAGGACATGGTTTGTCTGTCTCTAAATTTATAAGGGAGACATCCTTAGGCCCTACCCTAGTGTATCACCTATAATAAGAAATGAATAATGGATTCTGTTTGAATGAGAAATGGGAAATCCTACAAAACATATCTTGACAAAAGCATTTCTAAGGACATAGTGATTTTTTAAAAAACATGACTTTATATAAACATAAGTTACATTTGAATACTTTTTTAGGGTTGAGTATTCTTAATCTTCAACATATGATTCTTTTTCTAAGTGTTAAATTGTGGAGGGACTTTATACAATTGGCCTCTTTTGGTAAAAATATTTCCTTGTGGGTTTTTTTCATATCATTCCACCTCTGATAAATTAATAGGTAACCTTTATTGTTAGCTGCATTATCTCAGTCTTCACAGCACAGTTACTGTTATCTCAGTGCACAAATGGGAAAACATTTAGAGATTTAAAACATGCCTAAGACCATACAAGAGAGTGGGGATTTGACTCCAGTACCCAGCTCTCAACCATTATCATGTTTCCTCCTCCTGTTACCGTTGAGGTAACATGGTAAAGGATGGGAACATTCCACAGCCAGGTACCCACTTTCCATCTAAATCTGGGTTCTACGATATTGTCTTGATACAGGAAATGTGTTTTTGCCCCATTGGGCTATTGCCCAGTTGGACAGACTTCCAGGATTTTCCATTGCCATGAATGAATGTGGTTTTGTTTTGTTTTTTCACTAGTATGGGGGTAATCCTGATGTGACTGCTGCGTTGTGAGGAAAGAAATCGTTTGGGTCTCCAGGTATTACATGAACATGTTTTTCCCTTGTAGGTCAGACACATTCTGTGTGAAAAACATGGAAAAATCTTGGAAGCCATGGAAAAGTTAAAGTCTGGAATGAAATTCAATGAAGTGGCTGCACAATATAGTGAAGATAAAGCCAGGCAAGGGGTATGGTGCACTCACCATTTAAAATGTCCCTCATGGAGGACACACAGCAGGAGGGATTATTTCTGTTTTGCCATTAGTTTTAGGCATATCTTAAAGATCTTAAAAGCAGAAACGTCCAACTTGTGAATAGTTGAATACAGGTCACCTTTGTCTAAACCTTGGCATAACCAAATTTGCACAGTTAACAGATATCTAGGGCTTCCCTGGTGGCTCAGATGGTAAAGAATCCGCCTGCAATGAGAGAGACCTGGGTTTGATCCCTGGGTTGGGAAGTTCCCCTGAGGAGGGCAGCCAGCAACCCATTCCAGTATTCTTGCCTGGAGAATTCCATGGACAGAGGAGCCTGGAGGGCTACAGTCCATGGGGTCGCAGAGCCAGACACAACTGAGTGACTAAGTACAGAGTAGACACCCAGCAACATTGTGAGTGCTTGTTGTGTGCAGCCCAGGGTTGGACCTCTTCCCCATTTTGTGCTCATTGAGTCTTCTTCTCTCCAGCCCAGATGAATAAACCTAGAAACCTTAGCATTCATGTTGGGAAATTTTCAAGCTACAGTAGAACTGTTCCCTCTTTGGGGCCACTTGACATCACATATCTTTTGGATTTTCCAGGGTGACTTGGGTTGGATGACCAGAGGGTCCATGGTAGGACCATTTCAAGAAGCAGCATTCGCCTTGCCTATAAGTGTGCTGGATAAGCCTGTGTTTACAGACCCTCCAGTAAAGACAAAATTTGGGTATCATATTATAATGGTTGAAGGGAGAAAATAAAATTGTATGAAAGACTACATATGTTTTATACATTATTTCTTTAAAAGGTGTTGAATAATCATTGTATTTTATGAACTCTGTCATTGTGGGTTTGTGGGTGCAAAATCAGGTGGGTAAAGGTTGGTATGCACAACAGTAGGTATTTAGTTGGTAGTTCTCTTAAGTCAAGCAGACTCCTTTTAAACCTGTTAGTCCCTTCCCTCTAAGAACTGCTTTATCTGATTCTCAGTATATCCCATAAGTTAATTTAGAAAGCTTCTCTAGAAAAGTCAAATATCAGTTCATACAATTCAGATTGAATTGGACATTGAATAAATGGATTAGCATATGAAAATCATAAAATAAGCTACTAGACACTCGTTTTATAAGGTAGCCAACATTGATCTGCCAGGACAGTTGTTAATCAGCTCCACTGTCATAACATAGCACATGGCACATTCAACATTATGGCCATTCAACATTAACTCCTTTTTTTTAAATAAATGTTTGTTGGAAGAAGAAAACACTCAGTTCTGTCAGTTTTTTGTACTAGACTAAACGGTAGCCATTCACCAACTGCTGATTAAAGGGAGAAATATGAGAGTCCCCTGGCGATTCAGTGGTTAGGGCTCGGAGCTTTCACTGCCGGGGCCTGGGTTTGATCCCTGGTCAGAACTAAGATCTCACAAGCCACAGGCCAAAAAAGGAAAAAAAAAGACAGGGAGGGATGTCAGCCTAAAAACATTCCCTCATCCTCAAATTGTATGGGTTACATTATGACAGTCCTCTCCAGGGTCAATATTCTGTGTATCTACATTTTTTTAATGCCACTTTTATGACATAACAAAAAAGTATATAAATATTATAAATACTACTTCAGAAATCAAACTTTGCAAGTACAACTGTGTGATTATTAACTGATTTTTTTAACACACTGTATTCTCTCTCAGCTGCATTTGACATACCCGCATTAAGCCATATAGCAGCAATTCACCTTAGAGAGTTGTTTCCCATTTTAGACATTTCTGACCACCTATGCTTCCATGCAGTATTCCCCACTGAGCAGACTAAAGGCTGCCCACTCCCTGGAATGCACAGATATGGCAGCATGATACAGAGGGATGATCAAAATAGTAGGTTATCAGATGAAACTTGTTTAAAACCACATTTAAAACACTGTCTCTAAATAAGGGCTATAAATTCTGAAAATCTTGAAAAAAATTCTGAAAAGAATGTTCATTTTAAATGAATACATAGAACTACAAAGAACATAAATTATACTGAAATTGAGTAATCAAAATAGTTGTTTTATATATAGCTGTATTAATACATTGAGATGTAGTGGTAGTACTAAAAACCACTGAGGGAATTCCCTGGTGGTCCAGTGATTAGGACTCTGCACTTTCACTGCCATGGGCCTGGGTTCAACCCCTGGTCAGGGAACTAAGATCCTCCAAGCCATGTGACATGGCTAAAATTTTTTTCCATTTATTTTTATTAGTTGGAAGCTAATTACTTTACAATATTGTAGTGGTTTTTTGCCATACATTGACATGAATCAGCCATGGATTTACATGTGTTCCCCATTCCGATCCCCGCTCCTGTCTCCCTCCCCATCCCATCCCTCTGGGTCTTCCCAGTGCACCAGCCCTGAGCACTTGTCTCATGCATCCAACCTGGACTGGCGATCTGTTTCACACTTAATAATATACTTGCTTCAATGCTATTCTCTCAGAACATTCCCACCCTCACCTTCTCCCACAGAGTCCAAAAGTCTGTTCTGTACATCTGTGTCTCTTTTTCTGTTTTGCATATAGGGTTATCACTACCATCTTTTTAAATTCCATATATATGTGTTATTATACTGTATTGGTCTTTATCTTTCTGGCTTACTTCACTCTGTATAATGGGCTCCAGTTTCATCCATCTCATTAGAACTGATTCAAATGAATTCTTTTTAATGGCTGAGTAATATTCCATGGTGTATATGTACCACAGCTTCCTTATCCATTCGTCTGCTGATGGGCATCTAGGTTGCTTCCATGTCCTGGCAATTATAAACAGTGCTGCGATGAACATTGGGGTGCATGTGTCTCTTTCAAGATCTGATTTCCTCGGTGTGTATGCCCAGGAGTGGGATTGCTGGGTCATATGGCAGTTCTATTTCCAGTTTTTTAAGGAATCTCCATACTGTTCTCCATAGTGGCTGTACTAGTTTGCATTCCCACCAACAGTGTAAGAGGGTTCCCTTTTCTCCACACCCTCTCCAGCATTGCTTGTAGACTTTTGGATAGCAGCCATCCTAACTGGCATGTAATGGTACCTCATTGTGGTTTTGATTTGCATTTCTCTGATAATGAGTGATGTTGAGCATCTTTTCATGTGTTTGCATGGCTAAAATTAAAAAATAAAACCCACCATGATTTTGTGGTGATGAATATCAGTGGTATTTTGAAATAGCTGCAATAACTATGGAATCTCTGTGATTTCTATTAGCGAGAAAGTTGCAGTACTGCTAATATTTCTGTACCTTGTTGCCAACATTCATAATGAAAGGAAACATTAAATTTCAGATAGAGTACAGTAGTGGGGGAGGAGGGGGAGATGTAACTCTTCCCATCAAGTTTCAGACATCTGAATTCTTCAGTTTAAAAATCCCTGCCTTAGATACTGTTTTAACATTTTACCATATACATGTATTTCCCCCTCACCAAACCGTCATTATAGGTACTCAAGAAGCACTGTTGTTTTTCAGTGAGAAATACATCTAGGACTTTTAAGTCTTACTCTTCAGATCAAATGGACACAGGCCCTGAAAGCCTCCTGGCAGGCAGATAAATCATGTGGGGGCCTTTTTTTTCATATCAAAGGATAGAACAATTTAGCTGGATTTTCACAAACATTTGTGTTTGATGGGAGACTGAAAAACTTTAAGATGTAGGACACAGCCAATGTTGCACTTGCATGATGACAGTCATTCAGTTCTTGTAGGGAAACTGGAACTGGAGTTAGATGCAGACTATGAATTGCTGAATCACACAGTATTAACAATGGGATTTTTTTCAATGATACATATTCAATCATATCACCCTAAAATAAGTCAGCCCTCTCTTTCCATGGCTCTGCATTAGCAGATTCAACAACTGCAGATCAAAAATATATTTAACTTCCAGAAAGTTCCAAAAACTAAAACTTGAATTTGCCATGCACTGGCAACTATTTACATAGCAGTTATACTGTATTTACAAACTTTGCAATTTACATTTATGTTGTATTTTATAAGTAATCTAGAGATGATTTAAAATATAATACATGTGAGAATGTATGTAGGATATATGTAAATACTACATCATTTTATATGAGGAACTTGAGCATCTGTGGACTCTAGTATCTGCAGAAAGTCCTGCAAGCAATCCCCCTTGGATCTGAGGGACACCTGTAATAATTTCTTTTGGTAAGAGCAAAGTTTTGTACTATCAATAGATAACCTATTATTTAAGCTTCAGCTCATCTTTTTCAAGCTTCTATCTGTATATTTCATAATATGTGTAACAGTAACTGTATTACATGTCATTTACAAGTAGCTTTCATATGTGTGTGTGTTAGTTGCTTAGTCATGTCCAATTCTTTGCAACCCTATAGACCACAGCCCACCAGGCCCCTCCGTCCATGGGATTCTCCAGGCAAGAACACTGGAGTGGGTTGCCATTTCCTTCTCCAAAAGAAACTATAGAAAGAAAGTGAATTCGCTCAGTCATGTCCAACTCTTTGAGACCCCATGGACTGTAGCCTACCAGGCTCCTCCATCCATGTAACTTTCATATGTGTGTATGTGATAAAAAAAAATATCTTTGTCCCTAGTTACTGGCAACATGGCTCCCTTGGAATCTATGTAGTGACTTGGCCTTTTTTATGTTAATGTATGATTGGTGCCTGGGGACCCCTCAATAGCTTCAGGATGGGGACTGGTCACCAGAAAGACTTAATTAGTGGCTTGGAACTCTTGGCCTCACCCCCTGGCCTCTAGGGAGAAGACAGGTGCTAGAAATAGTTATTTACCAATGGCCAGTGATTTAAATGATTTAAACAATCATGCCTACACAATGAAACCTCTGTAAAAAATTCTAAATGACAGGGTTCAGAGAGCTTCAGGTTGGTGAACACATCAAGGTGCTGGAAGTGTGACCATGCCCAGAGAGGACACAGAAGCTCACACACACCTCATTCTCCATACCTTGCCCCATGCATCTCTTTCATTTGGCTGTTCCTGAGTTGTAGTTATAAAAACCAGTAATAATAGGTTTTCCTAAGTTCTATGAGCCACTCAAACAAATTAATGAACCTGAAGAAGCAGCCATCCTCAGGAAACCCCAATCTGTAGCCAAGCTGAAGAGAAGTGTGGATAACATGGGGCCCTAATACTACTAACTGGCATCTGATGTGAGGGCAGTCTTATGGGAGTGAGCCCTTAAACCTGTGTGCAGTTTGACTCTAATCCAGGAAGTGTCAGGATTGAGTTGAATTGTAGAATACCCAGTTGGTGTCTGCAAAGAAATGGAGAACTGCTAGGTGTGGAAAAACCCCACATTTGGTGTCAGAAATGTGAGTAAAAGCAGCTCAGTTATAGTGCCTTGTCACTAGGTAACACATGGTTAACAATCCATTTCACCCCTTACTGTGTGATCTTGGGCGGGTCACAGTCTCACCAAGCCATTTCTTCAATTAGAAAATGGAAATGCTACCCTTGACCTCAACAGATTATGGTAAGGATTAAACAAGAAACCTATGTAGAGTACCTAATAACACAGATGGTACTTAATAAATTCTCCAGTGATAGAGCACAGAATGCTATGCTGCACTTTATGTTTTAGGAGGGAACCAAACTCCTTTTCAGTCTACAACCTGAAGATATGACGTGTTAGCACATGTCAGAACTCAGGTGGTGATGAGTGACGGATGGCTAAATGGTCTGCAGAGGGACTCCAGGGTAGGGCACCAGTGATAAAGCAGCCCAGCACCAG